CCTAGTGGTGTGGTAGGGGGAGGAGGAATGAAGTGGCTGCATGCAGAAAGGAGCCAGGTTGGGGGAGGCGGGGCAGATAGTCCAGAGAGTGTGAAGTCCAGTCCATGGCAGCTGATCCCTTTTTAATGAGGGCAGGAATGACATAGCTGCAGTCCTGATGATAAACTCTTTTTTTTTTTTTTTATTGCCTTAGCTAATAGGTTTCGGTTACCTGCAGCAGAGAGAGCTCCCACATAGACTAGCATTCTGATGGCATCTCAAATTCACCAAGCTTCCTTCTCCCCTCTTCCCACTCTCCCTCTTACCCAGCTCCCCTCTCACTCCCACAAAATACCAGAAGCAAATCAGATTAGCCTAAAACGCTGTTAGAAGCAGACCAACCATCCTATAATCTAATTTAAAAGTATACCAAACCAAGGCGGAGAATAATTTTAGAGAATTGCTATAAAAATAAAAGCAGATGAGACTTTTTTTTTTGCTCGTTTCATAACAATGGCTGATCTGGGCCCACAATGGCTAATCTGGGCCATGATTTCTGCCAAACTCATCACAGACGCATCCAATTGGAAAGGACATTGGCCAACACCCATGCACGTGATCTTCTGCAATGCACACTTTTAATGTGCAAAAATTTACTCTCTTTTCACAGTGACCCATGCTCAGTTTACACGCACTATGATCAAATAAAAGGGAAATAAATTATCCACAAGGTAAGCAGGGGAATATAGGAGAGACAGCTTGTTCTGGAGACAGGTTTTTCAGTCTGCCACTAGCTAGTTGCATGACTTGGACATGTAATAACATCCTGACTTAGTTTTCCAATCTGTAAAAGGGGTATTAAAAAATAGAAATAAGACCACCATCATCTGCCTCTCCAAGTTGCTGGGAGATTCAAATGAGCTAACACTTGGCAAAGTGCATCCTCCGGCAGATACAGGGACAGCAGGAGCGGAGAAAGAAGCAGAGGAAACAAAAGCTGTTAGATGCAGCTGTTCCCAGGGAGGAGCCAAGACCACTCAGTACACTGGCACTGCATCTGAGCTCTGGCTTCTTCACCCAGTTCTGCCACCTCGGGGCTCACAGGAGACACAGCCACCTGACGTCAAGAGGAACGGATCGGCTCCTTAGGAGGCAACTCCCTGGGGACTGTTCCCGAGGGAGCAGCGGCAAGGACGTTTTAAGGTCCCCTCCTGGAAACACCTTCGTTTTCCCATGTCCCCTCCTGATGCTAATCTTGAGGTCAAATCTGGCCAATGTTTTCTCTCAAATAATAATATTAATAGCAGCCACTAAAGCCTTACAGATACATCCTATAAAATGCATTATGATGAGAGTCATAGTACATTTATGAGAACAGTGTCTGAGAATTAAACAACTTGGTCGGGATCACCCAACGGGTAACAGGCAAGAGCTAGGATTTGAACATAAAGCAGATCTGGCCTCCGTTTCCCCCGTTGTGCTTACCTCGTTTTAGTTAGTCTGTTATTGCCTCCCCCTGGACCCACTGTAGGAGTCTTTATCTCCCTGTGACCTATCCTAGCTGCCGCTGTCTGATTCTTTTCCCCAAACCCAATTCCGTTTCAATCCTGGCTCACAACACCCAGCCAGGTACACCACAGGGGCCTTCAATAGTTGCTTGTTGAATGAATGAAACCTCTGCTCGTGCTGCCTTAGCTTCCTTCCCTCTACCAAACACCTTGACCAGCCTGTCAGGGTCCTTCAGCTATGGCTCCCCAATCTTATTTCATGACAACCACTTCCTGGGTCCACCATGAGCCTCGGTCTCCTCCACGTTTCAGACATGCTGTTCCCTCCCTGGAATACATTTTCCTCAACACCCCCGGTCATCCTGCCATCAACACCCTTTCTAAGTTGAATGAATGGACAAAGGATTCTCTTCTTAGTGAGCCCACACGCAGGACACTATTATTCTTGCAGCTTCAGACCAGGGCAGGTCTTTATAAAAAAAAACACACAACTACACCAGATTCTAGAGCACACTCTGCCTCACCTAAAGTCTTCCTGGTCTATCTAAGCTACTCTTTTCTTTTCCCAGGAAGTTAAGTAGGCCTTCGTCTCAAGTCCCAGCTAAACAAGACCTTCCCAACTTGTATTTTAAGGATACAGCATTGTGTTTCTGCTTATAGAGTTCAAAATACAAAATTAAATAAAAATTAAATTGTATACCCTTTTGGTTGGACACAGGATGTACAAGTAGAAAGCTTCCCAGTCCGACGGCAGAGAAAAAGGGAGGCCAGCTTCCAGGGTCCTCTCTTCCTTTTCCGTTCCTGCACTGGGACTTGGCATTCAAAACACTTGTTCTCTTTCTAATGAAAGAACATACCTATGGGATAATGTCTTCCGTGAAGTTGCTACCCCATAGAAGCCTCACCCTAAAGACTTCTATTTTGGCAAGTATATTAAGTTAGTTAAGTTTATAAATAGGAATCCATCTCTTTTCATTTTATTATTTTTAATCTTGAATTACGCCGACACTAATCTATGATTTGGCAGTCACGAAATGCACTGGCCCCAAGTGGAAAAGCCAGGCTTGTCTGGTATGTGTCCTTTATGCTGCAAAGTACCTGATGGGCACTTTGAGACTATTATAAACTCTAGTAACTGGGTGAAAGTATACAAATAATGGAGTGTTGGGGCGGGGGGGGGGGGGGGGG